TTAAGCTGCGATCCCCTCCCCGCGGAGAGATTAGTGCATGCGGCCCCAAGTTGCTAAGACAGGGAAGAAGAATTAAGCCATTTAAAGACCAAGACAGTAAACACCCGCATTCTGTGTCCTTTAGGTAAAGAGTTGTCGGATCGAGGAACCTCGATTAGTGATAAGTGCGGAAAAGTGGAAACTTAAATGCTGATATTTTTCTTTCGATTGGCCAAATTTCAACCCAAGCCGCAGCTTGGTTCCTCTTTTCCTTTAACGATTCAAGATCACCGCACCGCATTATAGCTCGTAATGATATCAATCAGTAGGTATAGCGATAGGCGGTGCTTGACTTCTGCGGCATAAAGGTGCTAGAACCTTTTTGAGAGCGCGGTGCTAATTATGGTACGAACAAAGGTGCGAGGAACTCCTGCACGCCCTCCCAACAAATTGAAGGAAAGGGGAATTGGCAAGCCATAAGAAGCTTTCGATCACCACTATGCTAGGCACTTTGAACCCACGGTCCGCGGAAAGCTAGTTAGTAAATAAAGCTTTTCACAATGTAAAATTAGTTTGAAAGAAAGTTCTGCCAATAGACGTTCAGGTAAATTGTTATATTTATATCTTCATCATGAATGATTGAGAATTGCCTTCCCAAACCCAATCCTGTTGAATCAAATGGTATATCATGGGTGCTCTTTGCCAAAAAGCTGGCTGCGTTTTAAAACAGGCGGAGAGTTTGGTTTTTTGAACCCTAAAATTGATGAGCCATTTCCTGCTTGAAAAAATAGTGTGAAAAATATGCGGTTTAGTGCGAAAATTTTATCAAAATTGTTAATTTTGATGTGACAAGAGCGCATCAGGCAAAACTCTTGTGTTGTTCCGAAATATGTAGATAACAAACTAGGAGCGGATGCAGCAAAGGGTCTAGTGTATGTTCCAGTATGTACACAATCAGCTGTGGTACTTCACCGACCTGAATCCGTGTAGTCGATGCACTATATATACTGGATGATATATAGTCGGTACTATCATCGTCGAATACCATTTGACAATGCTACCAAAATATCAACTGCCACGCGGGTCTTTAGAATGAGGAGCTATTTACGAGGACATGTTGCATCAAACTTCTGTAATCAAACTTTTACTAACAAATATAAAATTCAAATAATAATATTGCAAGCGAAATATAATACCAGCTTAACATGAGATTCTTATAATGGCAAAATGTTAGTAGTAGAATGCGATTGATATGTTTTGGTCTAGATAAACTGAAAGCAATAAAGGCCTTAAGATTGCAAGTGAATATAAGGCGCAACCAAAAAAGATGAAATAATGGTATTTATTAGGTTGATGCATAAATCCTGCACCAAAATAGGTACAGACCGCAATAACTCGCAATAATCGTATATCCCAAGTAGGATTCGATATACCATTAGATAGAGCAAACCTAGCTCTACAAGATATTGCCTAAAGTTTTGCAGCAGCTTTGATCCAAGCGAAGATTGTAGCCAAAAACAAGAAAAATCCAAGCGCCTCAAAACAAGAAAAAATTGGAAGTCAGTTCAAAAAAATCCTTCAAAATTTCTAACTTGCTCATGCATTGTCACTTCGTATAAGACATTTCTCTATGCAGTTGCTGTATTTTTCTCTCAACTAGAAATCGAGAGAACGAAGTTTTTCCAAAACAATGCTGAGATGTTCTAGCACTGACAGTTGTACACTATAGAGCCTTAGAAGCGTAAGTGTGAATTTTCAGCTTTTTACAGCAGCTGGTTTACGAGAAATATCGAATTTTTGGCGACTATTCAAAAAAAATTCGAATGAAGAGAGCTAGATTCGTCATTTCTCGTGAACTAGCTCTTCTAGAAGGCTGAAAATGTAAAGTTTCACTGATAATGGCATTTACTATACAATTGTTAGTTCTAGAACATCTCAGCACTAATTTGGCAAAAACATAAAAAAACTTCGTTTTCTCATCGTCTAGCTGAGAAAAAAATAGAGAAACCGCATAGATAGATGTCTTACGTAAACTATCTACGCGTGAGCAGGAAAGAATTTCTGTAGAAGCTTTTTGAACGAAGTTGCAATTTTTTTTAATTGGTCTTAAGATTTTCGGACGCATGTTTTTTTTTCACTTTTCGACTCAAAACTTCGCGTGAATTAAAGCTGGTGTAGATATTCGAGCACTATCTTGTAGAGCTAGGTTTGCGCTTCCTAATGATTGATCGAATCCTACTTGAGATATAGGATTATCCCGAGTTATTGCGGTGTGTACCTATAGGCTGTCACCCACCATCGATCGTGAGGATCCAAGGGATGAGGCTGCGCGCGCGCGTCGCATGCGTGGGAAATTAGTACTCGAGCGCGACTGATCGCACCAAAGCATGTGCAGTCGTCCCTTCAAGCTGTTTTTCCCTTCGTTTCAACTTTTCCCGGTGCCTTTCCTGTCCTTCTGTGCGCTTGCGTCAACTATGGCTCATTTTGGATGGTGAGGCATCGTTCGAGGAAGCACCAAACCGGAAAACTCGTTGAGAGATGCGAGATGCTATCATTCAATCTTAAAATATAGGACTGGAAAACGTAACGCTCGCTTGTGAAAACAGACCAAACATTCGCATCTCCTCATTTTGCTTCAATTGGTCACTTCAGATGCCAGCAACAAAAGGTGGAGCACGCAAATCAACGTGTGCAATGCGTTTTCAAGTGGCCTAGCCTTAGAATGAGTTTTCGAATGGTTCTAATGATTTTGTATTGAGATTACTCAGGAATACAACAATATCTGGGAGTGATGACCATGATCGCAAAGAAACTTCTTGGGTGATGGTCCGCGCTATGCTATTTTGAAGCCTGCAGCATATAAAATACACACGCACATGAATGAAACCTAATATAGGGATGTAAAGCAGAGACAGACAAAGAAACATCAAAATAAGCAGAGTCAGTTGATCCGTCCAACTCTGAATGTAGGCCAATTTTGCGCTCGAGTACCAAATTCCTACGTATGCGGCGCGCGTACAGGGACTCATACCGTGGTTCCTCGCGACCGATGGTGGGTGATATGGCCTATATTTTGGTGCAGGAATTATGCATCAACCTAATAAAATGACGCTGAAGTCATGATTGAAAGGAGGAGGTCGCCAGTTGCGGTGCCCCCTTTACTTTTTACTTGATTCTTAGCGCAGCTGCAGCCGTACAAAGGAAGGGCTTGCCGCGCACTCAGCTTTTAAAGGCAATCAAAAATCAATCATCAAATCAGAAAATATAGAAAAAATACAAGAATTTCTCGACAGCTCCCTATGAAGCATTTAGTAAAAGATCTACTACAAGAGACTTTTTTGTATTTCTGTAAATCTCCTTACCTCTCCTTCGTAAGTCAATTTCACTTTTTTTACTTTACTAATTACCCTTCTTCTAGCGGTCCTCCGTACTTGGCTGCCGCTCTTCTTTCATTCAGATGTCTGCTGACCATTTGAGGGAGCAAATCTACTTTAATTAGACATACGCTTGTCTGAAGACAAGAAAAACAAGGAAAATATGGTTGAGCTTCACAATTACTTCTCCACTGAGAATGTGCGATCAGGAACAGTTTCAAACAATTATAATCTTTAGAATTTTCATCTAACGGGCTGACAATTGAATTTTTGGAAGTCAAGGTGTCGTTTACAACCTAATATCCAAAAATCCACACGACAAAACTTTAGATATCTGTATTCTGTATCTGCCGTACTCTTCTACTCGAGGTACGAGAGCTGGTTTGAGCCAAAATTCTAGCACTCATCTTGCTATGGGGAGCTATGATACTACAGCGTTGAAAGCTTGGCGAAGTAAAATTATATACTACATATATAAAGTCGATCTTTTTAGCGTGCATATTTTGATAGTAGTAGAACGCTGCCAGAACATTTAAAAACCTTAGAGAAATTTTTTTTGGATTTGTTAGTCAAGCCTTTTGAGATATGAGAGTGCTTCAACAGAACAAATGAAAACATGAGCACCTGTAGAATGCAACGGTGAAATGTGGGAAGCACATGATGTTTGCAGTAGGCACATTAAGGGAAATGCTTTGAGTGTGTTTTTTGGCGCGTTTATCCGATGCGCCACCTTCCTTAATTCGTGAGCTACCTGTAGCCAAAGGCGCGTCAAAACTTCGGCCGTGCTTAAAGGCAGTGTCTCACCAATATTGGGATAGTGCGGGGCTCCACATATTCTGTTAGACGACCCACTGAATAGGTGACCGCCTCATGTTAGATTCGATCCGGGTCCTTATGTTCTGGAGAATTTGCCCTCAAAATCGCCCACCGAGTGTAGATCCGCACGGCCGAGCTCCTGATTTTCCCTTGCGCGCTTTAACATGTCCATCCACTTGGCGTCCGCTTCCACGGTGTTGCCGCCACTGTGGCGAATACTAGGCTGAGAAAGCATATTTTGTTTTTATTGCTTCCACGGGGCTTTCAAAAAACTTAGTTTTCCCGAGATCATGCAATTTTGGACCGGCATTATGTTAGACAGGGAGGAAAAGGCTTGCAATACGAAAGAACTCGGCAACCAAATTTTGGTGAGACACTGCTTTTAACGACTGTACTTCGCTCAGAGGCAAATGAACGGATACGAAAGATGGATGTGTTCATCGTATAATAAAGTGTTTTTAGCGATTTAAAGCTTGTTTGAATTGGGCTTCTAACTTCGCTGCTTCGGATAGCGACGCTGTTACCCCTATCGAGGATAGTTTATGACTCGAGGAAGCGTAAGGAAAACAGTCGACGAGAGTGCACGAGGAAAGAGGAATGAAAAGCAGCATTCTCGATAATTGCAAACATTTTTACGATTAAATTGCTCTAAAATTCATTGCGAAAGCTCAAGTCCCAAAAGCACATGCTGAAACTTTTACTAAAACATCTTTCCTCAGCCTACATGTTCAGAATAAGTCTTCAAATATGGCAGACGTAACCATCAGAAAGAATATCGCGATTTTAACCATTATAAGAAGTGACTCTGAAAAAGCGAAGTACAAAACAGCAATGGATTCGATGGAGTGTTACGCTATACGAAACAACTACCCATATTTACAACTACATGGCGAAGACTTCAAAGCAGTATGTGGACAAGACGATGTGACTACATTAAAAAAGCGAAATTTCTATTTCTAAAAATTTTGCCAACGTCAACTTGTATCAGATTCACTTTCAACGTCATTGTATCGTTGCCCACTTCCTCCAAACTTACAATTTCACGTGGGTTTTGCAAGTGGAAGGTGACATTGGTGTCGTCAATGAACAAATGTAATGATGTCAAGTGGGTTCATGAATTCAGCAATTTCTTTTTCAGAAAGTTGGAAGTATATGTCAAAGAGCATGCCGACATTATTTTTTATGAGAGGTTCTTCAGTTTCGAAGTGGCATCAGGTATATTGCTTATTTGTTCAATTTTCTCACAGTCATGCTGAACACTGGAGAGGCTTACAAAAATCACTTTTACAATTTCTAAGATGTTCAATGTCAGGCTCATACTTTGCCAGAAAGTCAAACTTCTCGATAGCATTTCTTCGTGGATGGGCCGATTATTCATTTCGTCTCCCTAAGACGTTCGGTGTTTTAGACAATGAAGCTATACATGTAAGAAAATCCGAAAGTGGTCGTATAGATATTGTCCGGTTGATTGAAGATGTGGTTTGTGGAAATGCTTGCACCTAACGCACCGTTGGCACCAGTCTGTTGGCTGCTGTGGAGAACTGCAAAAAATTCCGAAACTTTGTCAGACTTCACTGTATGTTGCCGAGAAGCAATGAAAAACGTTACACTCTCTCAAATATTCATTTATAAAAGGGTGAGTTGTCCACGTATTACAACAGATAAGTATTCATTTTCGCCATCTCAAATATCTTAATGAAAGCAAAAATGACCTAGAACATCGAAAAATCACACTTTTCTTTGCTCACCAAGTATAGAAGAGGTTTCTAATTTACTTAGAATATGCGTATTTGAATAATCATTTGCTTTACCTTAGATTGAAAGTAATCATCTCATTGTAAGACGAAATAACATCACTCATCCTACAAACATGTTTGTTTACAAAACAAATGCAAAAGACACACAAATAGAGGCGAAAAAGCGTATTGGCTAAAAAAATTTTCATGGAAAGCAATAGGGAAGGTGTTTGTGTATCATGCTGATACCGCCATGTATCAGAAAGATTCATTTGGTGAGTTCATAAAGCTTCATGGTACATGAAAAGAGAAGAATTTACGTCACAAAGAGTCAAGCGTGTGAAGTAGTGAAGTGTATAGAATTTGAACGTTGCTAATTCACTCCCAAGTTTATGGATTTTAGAAAATTACTCGGTTAAATTCGGCGAATACTACAATTTTGTCAGTATACTCAATAATATGGATACAAATACTATACAGTATGCTTGGAAAGTTTTTTTTTAGAATAAGGTAATGGGACAGCTTAGTTGTCTTTCCAACACTGTCACCACTTTATTTGTTTATAGCAATGGCACAGCTAGGGAGAGAGGGAAAAGGGAAGTTCTCCTTCAATACTTTTCGCTATCTGTATAAAAGACATCCAATAGTTCTCCGTTGGTCCCCACAGGAAACAAAATGTTAATAATGCAAGATGATTTCGAATTAACTGTTCCGCGTGCCCAAGTCCTGGGAGCCGCGTCAAGCTGAAAACCGTTGTTGAGGGAAGCAAAGGAAATCTCGTTCGTGGGATCAGAAGCGGTGTCCCGGAAAAATTGCAGAATTATGTATCAATTAATTCGAATCAGCAAATTTTTTTTCCAGATCCCAGACATGCGTATCAGTCTTAGCAAGGAGCATGCTCGGAATTAACTTGACCATGGCATGCTCCAAAATCCGCATGGATTCGGCATTGTGCTCCGAACAAACAAGTACTGTTTACATAACACAACGATATAACCTCGTGGTGCTCGAACCAAGGTGCCGAAATTGGAGACTTTTTATTAATGGAAGCCGTGACTTTCTTTTCCAATTAGCAGAAACCGCTCGCTTAGCAGAAATAGCAGAAACCGCATAAACTTTGCACTACTGGAATTGAGTCGCTTTATTGCACTCCACTTGTTGCAGTACACCTAACATAATTTCAAATACTACTCCTTTTCACTCCTTATCAAGTCAGTTCTCTTAAAACTGTTGAAGATACTAGAATTACAAAATTCCGATTTTTTTCGCCCGATCTAGTGGTCCGAGTAGATCATGCTCTGCACAGTGCACCACCTCTTTGAAGAAAGTAGACGGAACCAGAATCTTTAGAGTTGCGATGATGTTCAAGCTACGCACACACGCAATGCTGACTTGAGCGCTTTCCACCATATTCATTGCAATAATTCAGCGAATCTCAGCACTTTCATTTGAGCCAAAGTGCTTGAAAACTCTGAAAAAAGCAGTTTTTTGAAACAATGTGACTTCATGCATTTTGAAGGAAGTTTTAGGTTTTAAGAATGTGGTATTCGAAAAAAAGAGCGACAGCTCTCAAATGCAGCAAATGTTTCATATTTTAATGCTGTACAGAAAATGTATATGTGCAGAAAATCTTAGGTGCTAAAAATGTGGTATTTATCCAAAGTAGAGGTGGCTTCATAACTATGACCATCTTACCACGTTTTACCAAATTTTTAATTTTTCTCCGATCAAAATCAAAGAAATTAGAAGCCGTTCTCGTCAATGGTATGACGTTGGCTTATCCAGAGTATAGTGGTGTTCCAAACAATTTCGTCCAAGAAAGGCAAATTACAGAGATTTTTTGGGGTGGCTTTATAGCTATGGCCAGCACTGTATATTCAACTGGAATTGTTGCTCAACAAAATAATTCTTACAACGTTCGGCCTGCAAATCACTTTTTGGCGTTTGCTGGAAAGAAAGCGATCAATTCCCGCGTGGCAAAGTTAAGGCGTTAATCGGTGATCACATATAGTCGAAATCATCTCATATGATCTTGTGTGCATTGCACACACCGTCCACCTTCGATGTTGTCATCTTGGACTTGTAATGGCAAAATGCAAGAGACTGACCGATCGCTATACATACCGTACATCACTTTGTGGTGATTAGTACTAAGAAAAGAAAACATCGAGTACACATCGAAAATACTTACCTGAAGTTGTCTGCTTCAAGAATCCAGGATGAGAACGCCAAAGGTGGACAGTGTGCAATGACCACATAATCATATAAAATGATCCGACTGTACTGCTTGAGAACAAAGTCCGATTACCAGTGCTTGAATTTTCAACGTTTAATGGAAAACTACAAAGAGTATCCAATGTTTTGGACGATGTTTGATTCGCTTATCCATAGCAACGAGCTCATATAAATACGTTACTATTTTTGAGACAAGCACTCAAAGAATCGGCTGCTTCTGTGCTTGGCAACATTTTTATGATGTAAAAGATTTACGGCAAGGCATAAAACTTCTCTACAAGCGCTTTGACAAGTCTGGATGCATAGCAGATTTGCTTATCACGGAACTTGAATGGCTTCCACGAGCAGAAGCCTACAGCTGCTGACAAGTGGTCTAAAAAGCTCAAACCACAACTGAGGACATCTGGAACTTTTTGAAAACGCTGTCGGTTTGAAGGAGACCCTCGCACTTCTAGATCCGCATTTGGAGGTTGCAACATCAGGTGACGGTCTACTTCCGAACAAAGAGTTGATAGAAGGTTGAATTGCAATACTGGACAATCAAACGATTGTAGTTCGAACTATGCCGAGGAGGAGTCATCTTTGCAAAAAAATTTTGACTATACAGATATCTGCAGAAGTCACCAACATGATGTGTTGCGATGTTCAACATTCAAACACCAGCAGAGTGACGTGATGAAGCTAGGTGAGGAAAAAAGGCTGTGCTTCGAAAATCTACAAGCTGACTACAAGATTAGCGATTGCACAAGCTCACAATCATGCTACAAGTGTCACGGAACATCACTCTGCAGCATGCACGAGTGACTATCTAGCAGCTTAAAGCACTCCGACCAAGAGATCGATGCAACGAACCACCACTCAGGGTCAACATTTTCTAGGAGGCCTAGAATTTGTGCAAAATCTGAAATTCTGCACAAAGAGGGCAAAGTGAACCGAGGAGGAATGCAGCACATATTGATAACGGTGACTGCACTCGCATACGGCCGGCCACTCTTCAAGCCTCAATTGTCTTCTTCAATGGAAATGCGCAGAAAAGCTTCATCAACTTCATCAACAAACAAAGACTAGAACTAATGGCCTACCTATCTTCCGGAACACAACTTTCAAGACTGGTGGCTTTGGAGGATCTACCGCACATTTCTCATCCAGTGAGGTCCAGCTTACACGGAGAGCATCATCCGCTGTCAAGTCTGTGAAGATACACAGCACAAATGTTATTTTTAATTCCGCGATGAGCACAACTTGGTTTAGCGCAGATGATAAAAGCTTACTTGGAAAGGAAAATTTTGAATAGCATAACCGCATTTTAAGATGCTACGTTACTCCGGACATTCCATCGGTCAAGTTCATTGGTCAATTCAATGAAATCTTGGCCGATAAAATGAGGGATCCTTTTGAGAGATCAACCATGTACAATTCTTCCGTCTTTGCTTATTCTCCTCCCCCCCCCCCCCCCCCCCTCCCCCACTGCGTTCAAACGCAATCTCTGGAAGCAATCAGATGTACAAAGTCAAAACGAAGGAGTATTTGCACACCGCAATCATCATCGCCTCTTCTAATTATTCAGTCAGTAAAGGAAGAGCAGTTAGAATCCATCTGAAAGTGTCAGAAAAACCAAGCGCGCAACTTTCAAGAGCCTCGCCAAAAAAAGCTCAAATGTTCGATTTCAACAAAAGCGCTCGCAGATCTAAGAAGTCATCAACGAAACACAAAAGATGCCAATGCAGCGTATCTAGTGGGCAACAGCTCGATCGCAAACGTCGGAAGTCAAAGACTTATGAACAACAAGCGAATAGGAATACTAATGCTGGGCTGGAATGTTTCGCTTCTGTGTCGCGCCTGATCCCGAAGATTGACTACGCATCACTGCCGAATCACTGCCGACCATTACACGTTTTTAGACGAAGACAACAACGCTTAGTAAAAGTATGATCTATGTAACTTAGCTCTATGTGTAAGATTTTGAGTTCTCCATCCCTAAATGTGACACTGTGTATCACATCCTCTTATATTGGCGCCTCGTTCGTTCGCCCCCCCCCCTTGTAGGTTAATTACGTAATTTACAACCTTCATCACTGTAGATTCATCATATTCATACTCTACATTTATTAGCTTGTCTTGAAAACCGTGACTGTTCACTGACCACTCAAGCCACTAGATCAACCCTCAGTGGTGAGGGGTCTACTTGGCTGCGCATATCTTCATGTAGGCGATTCTTCATGTTGTATGGTATGTTTGCCAGAAATGAGCATTTTGATTATCCATGCCCAAAACAGCGGCGTAGAAGGGCCTGATTACTCAATTTTGGTGTTGGTTCGATGAAGCCATTATCGTCGGCGGCTGTTCCGCATATTCACTGTTGACAGTAAGCGCCTGCTCCGCTCTAATAAACACAACGCTGTACTAGCTGGGTTCATCCAAACACATGAAGGTCGGCATTTGTTTCTTTTTTCGAACAGGATTGTGTCAAAGACAGCATTGAAGATTGTCTACATTCAAAATTAGGCTTCCATGTTTTTGTTATCCTAAAGCTTTACATGGCACTGTTTACAGATAGAATGTGCAACATTCGCAATACTTAGAAAACCATGTTCTGAGAGCCCCATCCTAAGGGCAAACGACGTTCACTACGTGGGCGGGCGTAGCCCAGTATTCGGAAGTGGTTTGATAGCATTTTTCCGTTTTCAGGTTCACTCTCCATTGGCCACATTAAAGGGCCAGAGCGCACATGTTCTACACGTTCTCGTAGACTAACTAAGGAAAAACCAAAAGTCTAAATTGCTTTTCGAGTGAAATCTGTTGCAATTTGAAAAGCTTCTAACACTGATTTCAAAACTGTTTTTGTTCTCTGCCAAGCTTGTCTGGACGCTGATTTATAAGTAGTTTTTGGAGCGAAAATTGATAGCAAAATCTTGTTAAATCAATGGTTATGTTTACAAGGCTCAAATGAAGAGGTGTTGCGAATACTATAAAATGTTGTAGCCCTCTTGCGCTTGTACTTGGACTTCTAATTGTACTTGAAGTGGCCCGGGATACTTGTGAATGAAACCATCAAAGAACAGATACAATTGATAACTTGAGGAGGGATGTGTTGAAGGGTAATGTAATGCTCACGATGTTTGTTTTGTTATTGACTTGTAATCTCCAGTGAGCTGTTGATGTTGTCCAGAGGAGCGGGAATTTTCAAGGGGAATGGTAAGAGATGGTCTAGGGAGCTCAAAATCCAGAAGACCGGGTTTTCTTAACAGCGTGGTAGCGACGTCAGAAACTGCGCGAGGGCATAGCTGGTTGGCATGGCGTCTCTATACGAAACCTTCGAATTTCACGGGCAAATCAGCGTCCAATCCGTGAGTGTACACGTCCGAAAATCCAATCAGGCTTCGATGGATTGCGGTAGTCGCGGGTATAGGCGGCTTCGTAAACTTCGAGTCTCCTTTTCTTGGCTCCCTGTGGCTTTATAGATGACTTATTATGGGAAAACTCCCAGAAGGTTTCCTTCTCCTTTCAACTGTAGGTCCTCTCAAAAATACTGACGAAGCGTATTTAGTGAGCCCATTCGACTGCGGGTGGAATTTCAATGTCCGAACGTCTCTGATTCTGTACTACCTGCAGAAGTCTTCGAGAAACTAAAAAGAGAATTGGGTGCCGTTGTCCGAAACAAGCGTTTTTGGTTATTTGAAAGGGCTTGAAATACTAAAAATATGATACTAATCATGCTTGGCAGAACTTTTATGTCATGCTTACGGTAGGAAAATGAGAAAGCTGAGGAGGTGGGAGAATATTGGGACTGAACTTAGGGGGGGATGGTCGTATTCGGCGATTGTGTGCCACATCTCTTGCTCGTCCCTGGTCATAACTCAGCGTCTGTAAGCGCTTATCAAACAAAAACAGTTTTGGAGTTGGCCTTCGATGCTCTAAATGGTATATATAATTCTTGTAAAAAGCAAATCTCGACTTCGAGTTTTTCCCTTAGATACTAACCAGTGGATCATAGATTTTACTTGAATGCCGCCTTGAGCAAGCACGCTAGCCTTGTTCCTTGTACCAAGCTTCAGTTTCTCTAAGCAACAAAAAATGCAAAAAAAAAACAGCAAATGAGAGGGTAAATCGGAAAAGTGGAAACAATAAAATCGTAATCAGCTTGCTCACGTTTTCTGCCGAACTACCAACAAACTCAAATTCAACAAAAAGGTTCAAATCTTGAACCTTTTTGAGGAGTTTGATAAATTTTCAAATGCTGTTTCTGATTAGCATACGACTCCCAACCAGGGTCAAGCTTGTGATGCGACTGTCGCAACGGGGGTCGTAAGGGGGTATCTAAGGTGGGGAGGGAAGGGGGGGGGGGGCGTAAGAGGAGGTAGTTAGGCTAACTACTCTAGGCCTCAAAGAAAGAATCGAAAAGCAGACAACTAGTTATGTTCTTTACAATAAATCTGTAAAAAAGTGGAAATCAGAATGAAAAAGATAAAAAATCGTAGAAATTCTCAAAAAAAACATTTACAAGAGCTCAAAACACTTTTGAAGAATGTATTATTTGATAAAAATGCTAAATGTACGGATTGCCCCTAGAAATCTTGCTTCTAAAGCCTTCCTGAAGTCTCTCACACTCGACAAAAGCGAATGTCTATACCAGCTGTGACCATCATAGAATTCTAAATCTTTTTGTAATGTTTTTCACGGGCTCATATGATTCACCTGTGTTTTTGAGATGCTCCGCTATATCAATGCATAATTTGGTGTCATTTTGTTAACTGTGGATTTTCTTATGATTTTATGTATTAGCAATGGGAAAAGCGGAGTCGTATCGGCGCCTCATCTAAATTTCTCCGAAGCTATTAAAGCCTGTTAGCTGCGAACCTGCTGTAATATGAGGCCACCCTCTTCTTTTTGTCATAAAAATTTCAGGCTGTTTGATAACTTCTCCGGTGAGATACAAATTCCAAGCTCAAAAATCCCACTTTTGCTTTTTAGGACCGCATCTAAATTTGCGAGAGTCGCAGCTAGATTTCTTGGAGCTCACTGCTCCTTAACGACTGAAACTTTTTCCATGGTTAACATAAGCACAATGCTACAAAGTCCGTTTATTGCAGCCTCTCAGCCTTTCTTCGCCTTTAGTTACGAATTTTCAAAATAGCGTGCTCATGCACGTTTTTGACATTGTTCTGAATGGCGCTAAAACAGTTTTTTCGCACGAAAATTTGTGCAAAAGGTGGGAAATAAGCCTTTTAGTCGAAATTATGTTTTGCGCTTCAAAGATATCATTTTTCCTCCCTTCAAAAAAATGGTGTCGCGTACGCGGACCGAATCTGCTGACCAGAAGTCGCTTGAAAATTCAAAAAAAACTTGCAGAACCCAAACATTATTGAAGGTATGTATGCGTGCTGCGGATGTTGGGTGCACCCATTGGTCTAGAAATTCTGCTTCCAGAACCTCACCGAAGCCTCACACACTCAACAAAAGCGCACATCTAGATCGACGATGACAATCAATAATACGTAAATCTTTTTGTAATGCAATTTATACGGCTCTTACAATTTGTATGTACTTTAAATAAGCTCTACTATTACTGTGCGAAATCTGGTGTTATTTTGTGAATCGTGGATTTTTTTATGATTTTATGGATAGTAGCAAAAAGTCAAGAAAGGGGGGGGCATATCTGGGTCGCATCTAAATTCCTTAGGAGCTATTGAAGCTTATCGGCTGCAATTCTGTTGTAATATGAGGCCATCCTCTTATTTTTCCTCATAAAAATTGCAAGTTGTTTTATAACTTCTCTGGCAAGTTACAAAATTTTAAGCTCAAAAATCCCAGTTTTTGCTCTTTAAGATCGCCTCTAAATTTGCGGGAGTCGCATCTGAGTTCTTTCGAGCTTATTGCTCTTCAAGGGTTGAAACTTTTTCTATGGATAGTCTGGGCACTATACTACAGAACCTGTGCTTTGCAGCCTCTCAGTCTTTTCCTGGCATTAGTTGCGAATTTTCAGACTATCGTGCTCGTTTGCACGTTTTTGACGTCGTTTTGGTGGCGCTCAAGCGGTTTTTTTTCGCGGGAAAAATTGTGGAAGAGGTAGGAAGTAAGCTTCTTAGTCGAAAACACCTTTTGTAGTTCAAGAATGTCATTTTTTCTCCGTGCAAAAATTTGTGTCGCCTACGGCAATCGAATTTGCTAGCCTGAAGTATGCCTGAAAATTCAAAAAAAAACTTGCATAATCTCAAACATTATCAAAGGTGTGTATGTGTGCTGCAGATGATGGACGCACTTACTAACCTAGAAATTCTGCTTTCGAAACCTCACTGAAGTTCTCACCCAAATGTTTTTTTTTTGAGATTGACATTCGTTTATGCAGGTTACCGCAAGGAACGTGGGCAGGAGAGGTAAGGAGGATATGAATGAGGGTGGGGGGGGGGGGGGGGAGGGGGAGGGGCGGGGGGTCGTACGGATGGGTACCCTCAAGGGGGGTCGTAAATGAGGGTCCCGGATCGAATCAGCACGCTTGACCCTGCTCCCAACCCCCTAATACATAATTCCTAAAAAATCCATAATTAACAGACATTTTAAGAGTTCACAGCACCATCCGCTCTACAGTGTGTATGGAAAATTTTTTCCGATTTGTTTAGGAATATAATTTTCTATTGAAATTGAGTACAACCCGCAAACAAATTACACAAAATATGAGCTTTCATTTATGAATATTCTATATATTTTTTCTTCTATTTAAGTGTGTATACGGTGATGGAGTAGTGCTTTTTGAAAGATCCTCCAAAATGCTTCTTCATTTAATTGCACGGAAACTCTTGTTAAGATTACCTAGGCTTTGCTTTTAGAAAAGTTTCCGTTTTACGATCTGTCAATGCAGCTTTGTTGAAGACCGTTATGTTGTTTTGAAAGAAAGAAACTCAAAGAAAGAATCTGTAAAAGTTAGCAGAAAGTTTCTGCATTATGCAGAAAAGACTTGCAACTAGTTTTGCCCATAAAAGATGCTTGTTTTCTCAAAATCATTTTTTTTATTTTTAGGGTGAAGCATGGGTAAGGGATGGGTGGTTAACGACTAGTCACTGGAATCCGCAAAGAGATTTCATGTTTCACGGCTTGAAGGAAAAAGATAAAAAGCGTTTTAACGCTACTCAGAAAAAGTAAGTTTCAAAGATAATTATGTTGATATCACAAGACTCTACTTACAGTGTTCTTGAAGGACCTCGGTACTCTCCTTGGTATGACACACTCAGTAAACCATTGAATCTTGACAAATGTAAAGAGGGTAAGAAACTAAGGATGGTTTGATGTGTAGTCGACTAAGTTTCAATAATTTTGCACACTTTCAAGTTAGACAGCTCTTGCATTAGACATGCAAAGTAGACACAAGATCCTTTGGTAGAGCAAAGCAACTTTAATAAATTGCTCAAAGATTTAAGGTACCTTTCCTTACTCTACCTTTGAGACAAATTCAATAAAATCTACAAATTTCCAAAACTAAATCTTATATGGCACGAAAGCACGCTCATACTTCCAGGGGCTCGCAGTACAATTGCCAGTGCGTGAACAATTTTTCACTTGCTTCAAAGAAAGTGCGGCAAATGTATGTACGAATCAAAGATGTAGAGTGTGCATGCTTGAGCATGCTAGATTTGTTGCAGCATCTTTTTGTCCAAAATTTCAATTTTTCCTCTCTTTTGGGCATTGGTTTTTTTCAGATTTGCCTTCGAACTGCACGCCGCAAGGTTGATGAAATCCCTGAACCATCTTATTAGGCTTACAATGCTCTATTGAAATACATATTGAATTTATAAAGCGGCTTTTACAGTTTGGGGCAGAATTATGCATCACTACATAAGTAAAAGGAAGAAAAGATGCATTGTTTGGTGTCTGAATTGCCTATTATAATGCTTACAGTCTTCGTATTAAAGCTATGCAAAAATATGTACAGTCGAGTAGATTTCCAGCTTAATATAGTGTCCCTGCAGACGCGACAACGGTGGGACGTCAATAAATGCCTTGCGAGTTCCCGAGCTAGTGTTTTCCAGCGTTTTCTTTGCTTATTCTGTGCTTTTTAGGTGTTTCGTTGATGATGAAGAAGAAAAGGGTAACTTAGAGTATAGTTGTTTTCTGAGAAGTTCTGTCATCGCATATTCACAGGTATCCACGTGGAAGAACTTCGCGTCAGCTTCTTGTCTATTTTTTGTCACTTCATGTTTCTTTCTTCTTGTAAGGTACTTCTTTGAACGCTAGTGGGTTTTTACGATTGACTTATTGCCTTTACTTTGAACGCTAGTGGGTTTTTACGATTGACTTATTGTCTTTATCACATGAAGTACTTGATTAAAATGCTATTTCTTATGGATGAAAGCCGAAGTTGCTGCAAGACAAGCCAATTAGCGTTCATAAAAACGCCTCACAAGAAGGAGGAGGAGAAGAAGTGACAGAAGAAAGGGAAATGACAAAAAAAAGACAAAAAAGCTGACGCGAAATGCTTCCATGGATATCTGTGAATATGCGATGATAGAACTTCTCAGAAAACAGAAACTACTCTTTAACTTACCCTTTTCCTCTTTATCAGCAACGAATCAACTAAAAAGCATGAAATAAGCAAAGAAAACACTGAAAAACACTAGCTCGGGAACTCGCAAGGCATTTATTGACGCCCCAGCGTTGTCGCGTCTGCAGGGACACTACAGGGTGTCCCAAAAAAATGTACCGAACGTTTGATCGTTAATATCTCTCTTCTAAAGAAGTCTTTTCTCTTGCTTCAGGTACCAATCTGTAGAGCTGGCTTCAACTTAGATTTGCATTATAGAACGAATCACTCATTTTTCTTCATTACTGTAATATTACGGTAGAAACTTCAAAGGGGGTTTTAAGCAACGAAAGGCCATATTTTGCCTCAGAAAGGAAACAAAACAGCCTGAAAGCTTTTACACTAGGCTAATTAGAGTTGCTGATTATAACTGTAAAGTTCCCAACTTATTATGATGCGTAGCGGCCATTTTTTCAATGTTCCTAAAAAGTGCGATTACACCGTTTAGAAAGCTTCGTAATCTTGTGATTAGTTGTATTGAACTTAGGGTCTATAAAAACCCTATTACACAAGTTTTCACAATTTTTTGAAAAATTTTGAAACGGCAGCTTTTCCACATTGACACCATATGTTTCAAGTTTCTACCGTAATCCTACAGTAATGAAGAGAGATGGGTGATTCGTTCTATAATGGGAATCTAAGTTGAAGCCAGCTCTACAAAACGGTACCTGAAGCAATGCAAACTTCTTGGGAAGAGAGATATTAACGATCAAACTTTCGATACATTTTTTTGGGACACCCTGTATATTAAGCAGGAAATCTACTCGACTGTAAAATAAATAAATAACGCGAACAAACTTCCTGTGGGAATTGTCGTAAGCGAATCATTTGAAAACATCAATTCAATACTTCCAATCACAAATGTGATTTTTAACGAAGGCTTCCTATGAGGCGTTTTGACAAAATTTCTGAGTTTACGTGTATTCATATTCAAGGGGTCCGATTCTAATTGATTGCAAATTTTTAGCAGCCTACTCAAAAAACTTTTGTTCGCATTAAGCGATAGAGCGAGATCCGAAGGCGCGCGACTAGCTGACTCTAAATCATACCATCCACTAGCATTTTTAGCTGATTATTTATGACATCTATAGGATAATCAAGGAGTTTTGCCTTTCAAATATTACAAAAGGCTAGATGGCTACTGACCACTCAAAAAAATGTTTTTTAATAGTGGAGGGCATTATCACATATAAAGCGAATACGCCTTGACTGTTTGAAATCTACTAGGCTGAAACAAAACTTTGTGTTGTTTTTCTTAAAATCTCATTAAACCACGTAGATTAAAAAAGACATTCTAAACTTGTATTCACGTAACTTTCCTCCAAAACTTACAGAGCGAGATGTTGCAAGATGTTGAACGTACAACCGTTCCAAACTTTGTAGGGTGAACTTCTTGAGTTCCATTCAGGCCTTGGCATAAGCGGCTTAAAGGGAAAGCTGAGTATCGATCGTAAAAAAGCAAGGGGCATATCGTTTACGGAAACCCCAGCCCCCGTCCCCTTTCCCTTCTTCTCCATAATATTTTATCCCTCTTATGTCACCTTTCATCTTCTGTAGAGGACACAGATTGTTATATCTGCCTTATCGATCCCATTCCTGCAAAATCAAAAAAAATTCCTGCTTCAACAGTTTAGCCGAAGCGCGCGAATTCAAAAACCTGCCCCGAAATGAACAAAAGCTTTGTATACAGTGAGCAGAAAAAGAGATGTCACCAAAATTAGATGGGCACTAGAGAGTTTGGACTATGTATGGAAAATTATGAAAAATTTATGTGAACTGAATGCGTAGCAAACTTTTTTCGGAGTCAGGTAGCTTTCCAGTCATAAATTTTCCTTCCTTTACAGATTTTTTCACAAGTTCAGTACAACTTTGTTCTACATTTAATATCGTACAAATGGGTTCATAATCTCCCCAAATCCGCTCCTCCTCGCCTAGTTGCAGCCCTCCAAATATTTTGTATGACGGCGGTAATCCCGCTTCAAGCGCGCAATGGTGTGTGCCGGACACAGCGCCGCAAACTTGGGAAATACGGACTTCCTTAGTTCTTATTCGTCTGCTCAATGTTGTTTTTCCATTATTTCTTGTTGTCCGTGTTTGAACCATTCATGATCGCGTCATAGGTGTAGTCGCACTTTTGTGGCGAAGTCTATGAAAACTTTATGTCGAGCCCTGGTTCCATTTAAGTGATTGCGTCGTGTGTAATGGTATCTGTTGTTAATAACCTTTAAAACTTGGGATTGCAGCAGTTTTTCATAGTAGTACAAGTAATTGATGGACAAACGAATCTTGCAATCAAGTGTTTTTTTATTAGATAAGACATTGCAAAGAATACCAACTCCCGCAATGTAGGAAGACTAAAAACATGTGTAACTTTTGAATTTGTAGCATTGTTTAGAATAGAAAAGTTTTGGAAGCTTGAGCAGCAAACTCAAGAAAAGCTGCATCGAACAACGGTTTAGCGGTCACTTACCGCTGCTCTGCATTTATTGCTTGGATGAGAAAAAAAACAAATTTTTGGGACAATCTAACAATGACCAACGATTAAAAAAAATCAAGTCGTGTCCACTCCGCTTATCGAATTTAGTCAAAACCCCCTTTTATTCTTTTCTATGAAATTTCCTCGACCTATCCTGTTAATGTCAAGGTCAATCAAAAAGCTTAACTGTGTTACGTCGAGAGCTTTTACACTGACTTTTGTAATTCGTTGAAAGGGTGATGTTATTAGGTTGGTGCAAAAGTAATGCGCGTTTTTCTAGCCCTTGTTTCAAGATAGCTTTTCTCCATCAAAGTTTATCCTATAAAACTTACCAGCATACCGTTGAGGAGCTTCTTTCATGCTCTATTCAATGGTGGTTGAAAGAAGCTTATAGCCTCATTCGTTAAAAATTTCTAGAGCTTCAGACAACCGCACTCGAAACCAGAATTTCATTGCAATTACTTTTTTGGCCAGAATTTGAGCGCGAGTAAACGAATTCTCTTGAAAATTTAACCACTGTATGTAATAGAAATTTTCTACGTTATGTACGTTTTATTGTTTTCTCAGAAAATATCTAGACTGAGATTTCGGCGCCTCAACATGAGTGATGGTTTTGACCATTCTTTGGCCCATAAATTTCCCCTTAAGAGGGCAATCGCCAAAGCTTCACTCATTTCTATAAGCGCGAGGGTGGGCCTTTTGTTGACAGTTTTTGCAGAAGGTGGAAACGTTCAGTTCACAGAAAATCAAAAATCTCCATATTTTGGGATTTTGAGGCTTGCGAAAAAATGTCGAAAAAAGCGGACAATTTTCAATATTATTTTTTCGTTTTCGCAAGTCTTCTTTGTTTGAGCCCCTTTCAACTTTTTTTGTACTACTGGCTTACGGCTACAAGACAGTCAACTTTTCATTTATACCGACGTCTTGAGGGAAGTTATGATCAGTTAAAAACGAGGTTTCCGAAAAAAAATTTTTTTGCTTGTCAATCCATATTTTTCCACCATTTTGCGATGTTAGCATAAATTAATGTGCGCTGTATAGAGAGAGGTTTGGTGCCTCTGATGAACTTTGCCGCACTGAGAAATATGAATTTTTTAGAAAGTTATAGCACGCCAAAGTGAGAACTCGCAAAACGCGCATTACTTTTGCACCAACCTAATAATTGCTGGAGATCATAACCTTTCGTTTTCACATAGTTCAGTTTTCCCTAAATTTCAGAGTTTTTGTTTAGGC